GTGGTCTATGGTTGAGGAGAGTTATGGAGGAGAAGAGCAGGACGACGTGCAAAACAGATACATGGCTGGCATTCGTCGCAAGCACGGGCGGACGACAGTTCTTGGTTGGGTCCCGGTCGTCTGCCCCATGACATTTCAGCATGGTGGAGACGTGTGCATGAGATTTAGAGACCCGCTTAATGTGTCTTTCCATCTGACCTACTAAGATGGACTTCTGAGAGACATTCAGTACGTGGCAGATGACGACTTGGTCGGTGCATCGCAGCCACGCAAGAGGAAAGAGCAGCAACAAGATATGTCTCGTTTGTCTTCTTAGGTGGAGAGGCTATGTGATCCTCGTCTCGACAGAGGGTACTCTGCAGCACAACATAACATAGACGGCCCGAGCAATGTGGGGATGTCGCAGAGCCTGAGGAAGATGAAGATGTGCACGTCTAGACCGGCACATGCACAGACGCCCGCCGCCAAAAAGAAAGTGAATCAGAAGGCGGTGGCAGCGACCGGTGACACAGCAGGTGCACCAACTCGGACCCCCAAACGCAGCCGACGCCCGGGGATGGCAGCTTTGACAGAAATCAGAAAGCTGCAACGATCGACTGACCTTTGCATGACTTTCATGCCATTCATGCGGCTCGTGCGCGATATTGTGGAGAAGGACGTCGCTCCGGATATGGGGGTGAGATTTTAGATGACTGTTGTGCGTGCATTGATGAAAGCTGCCGAAGCTTACCTAGTCGCCAATTTCGAGAACACAAACGAGGTGGCCATCCATTCGAAGAGGGTGACGATCCAGCTCAAGGACATGAGACTGATTGACAGGTTGTCGAAACCTCGTTGTGTTGAGAAATATCAAGGTACGTTGGACAAGAAGACGAGAAATGAGGAGAGACAGCAATGGATGGAGGCCAGACAGGCGGATAGAGATGGCAGCAGAGCAGGGGCAGCGAAGAGGAAAGGAGTGTCACGCAAAGGCAACGCAAAGAAAAAAACGGCAGCATGAGAGAGAGAGAGAGAGAGAGAGAGAGAGAGAGAGAGAGAGAGAGAGAGAGACACACAGAGAGAGAGAGAGATTAAGCTCACTAGTGGGGGGCATGAAGGTATTCAAGGACGACTCTATCGCTGATTTTGGCCCGCAGTAGTGAAGTCCATATATTTTTGGTTTTTCTTGTTCTTCTTTCTTTCTTTCTTACTTTCTTTCTTTGTTTTTTCTTTTTCTTCGTTTTCTTCTTTCATTTTTTCTTTCTATCTTTCTTTCTTTCTAATTGTTCCGACTTTCATTGTGCTCGAACCTTGAACCTGTTGCCAGTGTTATCTACTTCGTAGTCTTAGGCCTTTCAGCCTTGTTGTTTTGTCCAGTTTCTGCCCTTCTGAAAACTGGTAGGCGCCTGCAGGTCTATCTTATGTGTGTCGTAGCCTTGGGTCCCCTTACTGTAGGTTTCCGTATACATGCATGTAGGTAGATCTTTACTGTTGGGTCATACATATTTGCCGTTTGGACGGTTGTGAAGGTCTGTAAGTGCGTAATGTGTTGTAGGTCTAGGGAAGTTCGATACAAGTACGCAGAGGCCGACGAATTTGGGGTTCTTTTCATTGCTTTTCTTCTCACGGGCTTGGTGGAGGTCGCGTTGCTTCCCTGTTGCAGTATTTCGACTTTTACGCAGCCCATCGCACTATTCCTATGGAACTGTACACTAAGTGTGTTTGCTGTTTCCTTGGTTTTGCCATTGCGGGACTTCATCCGGTGACCTGTAATTTGTACGTTTGGTTTGTTAACTTCGAGCCCTCTTCTCCCTCTTCCACGTCTGCATGCGCTTCTCTCTCTCCCACCCTCTCTCTGTCTGTTTGTTTAGTGATACGATCTTGACCAATTTCGAAGTATATACTCAGCAGAAAGTTCAATGTCGTCCAGTTGCAAAAAAAAAAGAATGAACTTGAGACGAGAGAGAGCGAAAGAAGAAGAACAAGAAGAAAGAAAGAAGAAGAAGATGATATGCACCAGCATACAGCAATGAGAAAAATGTTTTTCTTCGCCAATCAACCTCCTCCTCCTTATTCCCTCCCCTCTTATTCAAACTAGAAATAACAATAATAATGTCGAATGGGTGAACCAAAATCAAAGTCCGAATCTGTCTGTCTGTCTGGTCTGTCTGTCTGTTTGGTCGGGTCTGTCTATCTGGTCTGTTTGTCTGTCTGTCTGTCTGTGTGGTCTGGTCTGTCTATCTGGTCTGTCTGTATATCGGTCTGTCTGTCTGTTTGTCTGTCTGTCTGGTCTGTCTGGTCTGTCTGGTCTATCTGGTCTGCCTGGTCTGTCTGTCTGTCTGTCTGGTCTGTCTGTATGTCTGTGCGGTCTGTCTGTCTGTGTGGTCTGTCTGTCTGTCTGTCTGTCTGCTCTGTCTGTCTGCTCTGTCTCGTCTGTCTGTCTGGTCTGGTCTGTCTGTCTGTCGGTTTGTCTGTCGGTTTGTCTGTCTGTTTGTATGTCTGTCTGGTATGTCGGTATGTCTGGTCTGTGTGTCTGTTTGTCTGTCTGTCCGGTCTGTCTGTCTGCCCGTGCGGTCTATCTATCTGTGTGGTCTGTCTGTCTGGTTGTCTCCTCTGTCTGTCTACTCTGTCTGGTTTGTATGTCTCGTCTGGTCTGTCTCGTCTGGTCTGTCTCGTCTGGTTTGTCTGTCTGGTTTGTCTGTCTGGTTTGGTCTGTCTGTCTGGTCTGGTCTGTCTGTCTGATCTGTCTGCCTGTCGGTCTGTCGGTTTGTTTGTCTGTTTGTCTGGTCTGTCGGTCTGTCTGGTCTGTCTTGTCTGTCTGTCTGTCTGTCTGTCTGTCTGTCTGGTCTGTCTGTTTGTCTGGTCTGTCCGTCTGTGTTTCGCCCTGTCTGCCTGTCTCTCTGTCTCTCTGTCTGTCTGGTCTGTCTGGTCTGTTTGGTCTGTCTGTCTGTCTGGTCTGTCTGTCTATCTATCTGTCTGGTCTGTCTGTCTGTCTGTTTGTCTGGTCTGTCTGTCTGTCTGGTCTGTCTGTCTGTCTGTCTGTCTGGTCTGTCTGTCTGGTATGTCTCTCTTTCTTCTTTTTCTTCTTGTTCTTCTTCTTTTCTTCCTTTCCTTTTTTTAATTTTTCTTTCTTACTTTCTTTCTTTCTTCTTCTTCTTTTTCTGTCTGTCTGTCTGTCTGTCTGTCTGTCTGTCTGTCTGTCCATCTTTCTGTCTGTCTGGTCTGTCTGTCTGCTCTGCTGGTCTGTTTGTCTATATGGTCTGGTCTTGTCTGTCTGGTCTGGTCTGGTCTGGTCTGGTTAGGTCTGTCTGGTTGTCTGTTTGTCTGTCTGTCTGTCTGTCTGGTCTGTCTGGTCTGTCTGTCTGGTCTTTCTGTCTGTCCGTCTGGTCTGTTGAATGGCTGAACCAGAATCAAAGTCCCGAATCCCACATGTACTACAGGCAGAACATGAGGTCCACCATAGCCATGGCCACCATCCTTCTTCCTCCTCTTGCATGCCTAGGCTATGGCGGGCCAGTACGTCGTTGCCCTGATGTACACCGGACAACACGAAGCAGCTATGTGGCTGCCCCCCTTCCTGTCCAACGGACAACACAAAGCAGCTAAGTCGCTGCTGACTGATCCGCCATGCCTGACGCTGCCCCGAGCTTCCAATGGGGGCCTTCCAGATGCAGCGCTTAATAAGGTGATGAAGTTGGTCTCCACCATAACCAGGTAGGTACCACGCCACTCTCCTCCCTAGTCCCCTTCTCCCTCCTCCTCCTGCCCTTTGCAAGTCATACTTTTTGCCCTTCAAATATTTCTCTCCTACTCTTGCACTCTGATTCCCCCTACCTCACAGTCCTGACAAACTCAATCTCGTTCTACTCGTGTGGTTCGAATAGGGGTTGTTGTGGGGGAGCTTATAACACACACACACACACAGACATACAGCCTCACAGATACACATACACACACACACACACACACAGACCAACATGGCGAGTACACATGCACAGACACACATACACAGATACACATGCACAAACACACAACCTCACAGATAGACATACACATACACACATAGACAGACCAACAGGGCGAGTACACATACACAGATACACATGCACAAACACACATCCACAGATACACATACACAGGGCGAGTACACATGCACAACCACACATCCACACAGCCTCCTTCGGGTTGGTTACTGCGTGTCAGACACAGACCACACAGTCCCGTTGCGACTTCAAATCACACGCAATAGCCAACTTAGGAACAGACACGCAGACACATGCACAGACACTCACACATACACAGTTACACACACACTGACAGAGAATCACTGAGAGAGAGTCGTTGACGTCATTGTGCGTTCCCGCTGGTAGAGAGAAGAGGAGGAAAGAGGAACCATACGCATCATGCTTATGTCAGTAGCGCAGGTGCAGGCTGCTCTTGCAGAGGTGATGAAGTATGCAAAGGAGGGTGTTCACTACGACAATGACAACGAGTTCTCTTTGCTTGAGGACAGGGTATCAAGGTGCTTCATTGTCAGTGTGGATATGAGATCCACGATGATGGCAAACAGCGAGGGGTGTGTCAAAGCACAAACACTGTTGCAACGCTTCAGAGAGTCACCACATGTACGTGTGGACAACGACGTGGAAGACAGTGCATATAGTCTGAAAAGAGTAATTGAGTGAATGTGCAGCGAAGAGATGTGCAAAGAAGGGGACGTGGACATGACAATGCTGCAGAAAGGGGGGAAATATACACCTGCGGATTTCAAGAAGGTGCTGGGCACTTCCCTAAGAATTCAGAGATGGTTGTTGATGGGTCGAAGGACGAGTTGAAGATCGGTGCTGCGAAAATTTTGGTGTTGTCCAGAATGAAGGACATAACACAAACACCTCCAGTCGACTTTCAAGATGTTCCTGTCATAGTCGCAGATGGTGTCGAATATGTTCTGCTGGATCAACTTGTGGACTTCATCCATGAGGCTTTGCATGAAGTCACATAGTTGGCACTGCAGGGTCAAGAGCTAATTGAATATATGTCGGCAAGAAAGGAAGACAATATGATATGTGGCACACCGTTGTGGGAGGGTATACTATATGCTGCTTTGGAGCAGCTCGACCATGTCGGTTTCGATGTTGAGAGACAAAGAAAAAGAGAAAAAGGCTGGAAGTTGATGGCCAGGGAAACAAATCTTGCAATCGTTCCACACAACGGACATACATTAGTGGCACATGAAACAATGAACAGTATGTCAGTTGTTGTACCTCCCGTGCAGACAATAACGACAGAGGAGATAGAGGAAGAAGATATGTTGAATGACTTGACAATGGCTGAACAACAGCGTGATAGTGGATTCCAAGAGCCCGAGTTACCAAGTTGTATTGCAGAGTACACAGGAAATGCAGAAGAAGAAGATGAAGAAGAGGATGACGGGGCATCATCTTCTGAGGTGGAAGTGAATGCTAGCGATGTCAGCAGCGACGAGGAAGGAGAGGAACGTGATGTGTACTATGATTTGAAGGGGGCGGGTGGACAGGTGACAAAAGGGTGGGCATATGCAATTCTGAGGTTGGCACGTGCTTTTCCCGATCCGCAAAAAGTGCTGCGTGTTGTGATGAAGGTGGCAACACCTGATGGCGCACTGTAGAATGACGCAGTGACCAGCATTATGAAATCATGCACCAGGGGGAAGAAGTGGTCACGTCTTGGCAAGGGATGGTTTGTTCTGGTGAATAGAGAGGCTGTGCTAGCGACATCACTGACATGGGGAGTCAACCTCAGTTGCCTCATCCACGACGCACTGGCGATTGCGTGTGGAGAGACATTGCATCCCGACTTGTCAACATGAGACACAATAGTTAGTGCTCGGCCACGGCATGACACACAGACACACCCACACACCACGATAGACCCTCAAGGACTGCAGGGATGAGGACAGACATGCAGAGCATAGAGCAGTAGAGTAGTAACATAAATAACCATTGCACATACGTTTTGATGCGCATGGGAAACTCAAACTGTACATCCGTCTATGTCTGTGTATCATGTATGTCAGTCTTCAATTTCAACTACGGTCGGGTTCACTACTGCGTGGTGTATCCGTGTCCACCGGTGCTGTTTGTTGTCGTTCTGGCCTGCAGTAGTGAACTTCTCTCTCTCTCTCTCTCTCTCTCTCTCTCTCTCTCTCTCTCTCTGATGTATGTTGAGTTCTAAATATATTAGAACCTGTATATCTGCGTGTTGTGTGTAATGTTCGCTACTCTTTGCATCTCCAAGTACATACGGTTCACGACTGCGTGCAGACACTGGATTTAACAAGATTTGAATCATTTTTCGATTTTTACGATATATATCATAATTTATTGCCTTTCGTAGTAAATGAGACACATCTTACCCCCTACGATCACCAATGTGCGTATGTTGTGCATTTTTTGCATTGTTTGTCATTTTAATACTAATTTATTGGGGAGTGAAAAATATTGAAAGTGTTTGCGGAGGTCGGCTAGGGTGCTGCAGTTGCAATTATTTTCCTGTGCAGATGAAAGACACATGACACATACACAAACGTCGTGGATCGCTACCTGGCCACGTGGCAGCCTCGCAAACGTGATGATGAATGATTTGTCATGTATCCTGTACCTGTTTGTCAAACGTTGCCTTTGACTACATGACCATTGATGTCATGACATATAAATTATTGTGTCACACGGTTGACTAGTAATCTCTCTCAATTGTCATCACACACAGACCATTTATACCGAAAACGACACTCGTTTATACCGAAAACGGCAACATTGAGACGAGATAACAAAATACGCTTTGCTACTTACTATTAAAACGACCAGAAACAATGTACCATAATGTTAATGAAAACACTACCCACACCACTCTGTTTGTTTTTGGAATGCACTGCGCACACAGAAAGTGGTGTCCCAGGGTGAGGCGTGTAAGCCGATAACTTCACGACGAAAGGGCGTCCGTCATATATGAAAGAATTTGCGACTCAAGTTTTGAAAGAGGCGAAACAGGAAACCGCTATTACAAAATGGACAGCGCTCTAAGGGTGTGCGACTATGGCAGGCCTTTCATGTCTTTACGGACTTTAAACTTACATCGAGCGAGGGCATGCCTGGCCACAGTGACCGAAAGAACACCAGGGCAGGAGATGGGTGTGGTCGATGAGGCCGGGCCATCAAGTATAGGTGCAGTGAATCTCATCAGTGATGAGAGTGAGGAAGTCGGGGCCCCCGACAATGTAGAGGCGGAGGGCGGGACATTTGAAGAACAGCAACTGCCGCTTGTAGAGTATTTCGACAATTCTCACAAGTTGGCGGCACTAATTTTCTCTGCCAGGGGCGGTGTCGGTATGTCGCAGAATGACATCAATGCTCTCTTGTCACTTCTCACACACCCGAGATTCAACACGAGAGACATCGCATATCGTAATAGTCGAGAGTGTTTGACATGGGCAGGGAGTCAAGTAGAGGCTGCTAAATGGCAAGAGCTTGATCTACGATGTGATGATTGACCACTAGATGCGCACGCCATCTTGTGGCACCGCAACTGGCAAACGACATTTCTGTCGATTTTGCAAATCACATTACAGAAATGCGAGATGGTGTCTTTTCTGGAAATGTCTCATCCGTCAGAGCACCTCAACATATCCGGCCCGCGCACCGGGGCGCTAAGTTATCATGTCCAGACAATCATTAGAGCGGACAAAGGTGTGGATAGGAATGATAATCCACGTTATGTTATCCCTCTCTCATTGTATTCCGATAAGACACATATAGATGGTCGTCAAAAACAGACAGCGTACCCTCTGATGATGTCACTGGCCGACCACGCATCCGAAGCCACACTGCTGGCTTATCTTTCTGTGCTTCATCATCGTCCACGTGACAAAGGATGAGGTCTACAGTCCATCGCATTCACAAAACGAAAGGGCGTCGTTTTGCACAAGGCCCTTGCAGTTCTGTTGCAGTCTGCAAAGAAGGCATCTCATGATGACATAATGATACTGACAGAGCGATTCGGGGACATAACTGTCCACCCTTTCCTCCTCAACTATATACAAGACTACCCAGAAAGATGTGTGATTGCAACTGTGAAATTTGGTGTGTGTCCAATGTGCACCGTGTCAAAAAACGACTTTGATGTCGTGGCCGATTTCACGAACTGCAGGAGATCACATACACTGGAAACACAACTCGCAGCAGATGAATTCAACGCCAATGACATCGACATTCACCGTGCGGCTGAAGCACGAATGTCAGAGTTGAACATGCATAAGCATGTTCAAGAAAACGACCTTTGGGGATTCTACAGGGGCCCCAATGGTGATGATCCTCAGCTAGACTACCATCTGGCATTGCAACCAGACCGTATGCACACAATCGAGCATGGCATATTCTTGCACATGATTGACACATTCAGGACCGCAGCCTTTGAGAAGCTGACACACTTACCACACACAGAGATCCTGAAGGAACTGGATGCAAGGTTGCAAATCGTTAGTGAGAGATGCTCCCGAACATACACACAACTTGTGCTGCGCGTGGCCACTGGCAAGGACTTTTTTTCGAGGGAGGGACGGTTTGAGGCCAAACAAAATCGGCCTGTGATGACAGTGTGCGTGTTCCTTATTTGTAATATTATCCCACGCTCAACAGACAAGGGCATTACCATTTGTTTTGTGAAACTAATGGAAATGTACATACGTGTGTTTCGGTGCACAACACACACTCGTGCTTCGCTCGATGAATGCGATGCTTGGTCACGGACTTCATAACGATCATCAAAGCAAAACTAGGAAAATATCAACCATCAACATGGAAACTCCCCAAGTTGCACGATCTCATGCATCTGAGAACATGCATTGAGCGATCTGGTGTCCCTGACACCTTCACAACAGATGTCTGGGAGCATCACCACATGAAGTTCTGCAAACAACCATACCTGTCATCAAACAAGCGGAAAACTTCAACCCAGATGGTGAACCATGTAAGCCGGTCACTGGCATTGCACGACAAGATAAAGATCGTAAGGAAACGAAGCAAGAGAACGGGTGAGAACCGGTCGTCCGTGACAGACTGTATGGCGAACGGAATGAACACCTTGGCACTACACGATACAGCAACTCTGCAACTGCGGTGGTTCGACATCGAGGACGAGTACATACAGGAGGAAGAAGGCATTGACAACCTTGCGTGTAAGATACTCAAAGAGCTTCCTTGCAGACTCAATTTTCGAGCTGCGCTGACGACGTACATGGTGGAGAATGATTGTCAACCTCCTTCTGACCAACTGCTCATACACACACGGACACACCTCGTCATTGCCTCCGTACAGGATGAAACAAATAGGGGCATGCTTGTTCAAACTGCAAGAGCTTCACCAGAGTTTCATGGGAGAGCATTGCATAGTGATGTGGCAATTAGAGCAGGCAATGAATGCATATTGTTTGCATCTGTGGCCATGTTTTTTGTCGTGAACACACCCACGGACAACGGTAATGTTGAACACAGGTGCGAATTTGTGCAATGGTACAAGGAGGTCGACAGCGAAAGACAACACATAACAGGATGCAATAAATTGAAATGAGAGAAGTTGAATGGACATCAATACAGTAGCGTCATATCAACAGACACTATTGTAGACGCGGTTCACATTGTTCCATGTTTCTTCAAACCAGAATGGGGATCGAAGCAGCTTGCAAAACAACGTGAGGACAGTTTTTATGTGAACAAGTATGTATTGTAGAAGAAACAAATGATAAGTTTCTAACTTTGCTATTAGATGACCGCGCCCTGTGAGAAACGAATGTTGTTTCGTTATGGTCTCACATGAGAGAGAGAGAGAGAGAGAGAGAGAGAGAGAGAGAGAGAGAGAGAGAGAGAGAGAGAGAGAGAGAGAGNAGAGAGAGAGAGAGAGAGAGAGAGAGAGAGAGAGAGAGAGAGAGAGAGAGAGAGAGAGAGACGTCTTTAAAAGCAGGAAAAAAAAAAAAAAACATGTCTCTCTATCTGTCGCCTTGTGAGAACTCGTCTTCTTTCGCTATGGTGTTATACGCGAGAGATAGAGACAGGGAGAGAAAAACGTTTTTCTTGTGTCAGCTGAGAGGGAAACAAAAAAGGACATTTGTCTCTTTCTTTTTGTCAATTGTTGATAGAAATCATTTCAAATGTGGCGAACCTTATGAACTGGTGAAAACCACATGTGAGAGTAAATTCACTCCAAAGTTCACTACTACGTGACAATTACATGGTGAACAGGGACATCGATTCAGTTTTGGCACGCAGTAGCCAACTCTCTCTTTAAGAAATACTCTCTCTCTCTCTCTCTCTCTCTCAAGTATTTTATAAAAACCATTGCAAGTACCCCAAAACATAACAATTCGTGTGTGTCATGCCAATTTGACCGACACTTGTGAACAGGAAGACAAACGTGGGACCTCGCGCACCGTTCGGGAAGGAGCGACAGTGGCCACTTAATAAGACGGTGTAGGTAAGAGAAGCCGCGTTAGCATGACAGAGTCACAGAAAAACAACATGGGTGGTGGTGGCAAGAAGTATTCGTATATGGGGAATGAAACGGCGACCAGTCCCAGGACAAAAAATAACGACGAACAGTCATGCAAAGAGGTTGCAAGCGAGCCGTTGTTGCCACTAAGCAGTGAGAGGTCGGTGAAGAGGTGAAAAAAAATGTTGAATGACCCTTGGTATGCGGAAATGTTCGATATGATGACGGAGGGTGAAGTAAAGTCTCTCCAGCTGATGGTTGAAGAGTCATCCGGCATTAAGGGAAAGGCGAAATTTGGGAACATGACCAGAAGGAGAGAAGAGAAGACAAGCGTTAATGATGAGGACGAATTATTCCCCTTCACGTGGAAATCAAGGAGACATGTCATCCCCATAACAAAATCCGACGTTGCACGATTGACCGACAATGAATGGCTGAACGACAACATTATCGAATTTTTTTTGTAGTCTGTGTATGAAGAACACTCCCGGGACAGCCTCACAGTCCATGTGTGTACAACTTTCTGGCATCCCCAAATCATTGGTAATCAAAAATTGCATTTGACGAAAAGCGGATGGGATGACACGATCAAGAACAGACCACGAAAGTTGCATCGACTAAGCAATGAATTGCGATGCACGACAGCTACTGTAATACCTGTGAACCATAGTAAACATTGGGTTTTGCTTCTGTTGCTGAATGTGAGAGATTTCTTGGCAGTCAATGAGGACAACAATGTCAGCGAACCTCCTATTGTCATCGTTGTTGACTCCTTCAAAGGGAAGAAACGAGAGGAACGGAAGGCCTTGCGAACATTTATGTGGCACGAGTACCTCTACGAGGCATCCAACGCGAGGGTGTTGACTCCAAAAAAGGTTGAAACGTCCTGGGTGACATGTAGAGATCTACTAGGATGTAAACTGTTGCATGCGGAATGCCCGCATCATAACAATTTCACGGACTGTGGTGTTTATGTATGTTGCATCACTGCCAGAGTAATATTATTTCTAGCAGGAACCGCGCCAACGGATGTAAGAGCTAAGGACATACTGAAAATTGTTAATAGAACAGAGGTGAATGAAAAAATTGTTCACCAATTTCGTCAGTCCATGGTGGACCGGTTAGCACGCTGTGTTGCAGCTGCAAAAGGTCACGACACAGTCGTGGCCTCGCACATAGCGAAAATGTTAAGATGCCTCATAAATAGAAGACAAAGTAGTACTTCGTAAGGCATGAATTGTCATTCCGAGTGTAAGAAAAGTGTCGAAGGAAAGTTCACTACTACGTGCAATTTTAACACAAAGACCGATCGCTTGTCCAGTTGATTGGCACGCAGTAGCCAACCTTCTCGCAAAAACAGTCGGGGAGGTAACTTCCAAGGATTTGTTGGTGAAGATCTTTATTTTATTTTATTTTTATTTTAATGACTATGCGAATTCGTGCCGCCTGACAATACAGATACAGAACGAGCAAAGAGGTTGATGACTTACATGACGTCGCAGTATCAATAATAAGACAATGGTCTTTCTCTCTCTCTCTCTCTCTCTCTCTCTCTCTCTCTCTCTCTCTCTCTCTTTTTTTTTTTTTCTCTCTCT